TATATATATATAAATATATAAAAGGATGAATCAAATTGCTCCAAGAGTAATTTTTGGTAAAGTTATTCCACTTAATAAATTATGATATATGTTAAATTTCAATTATTCAACCGTTAAATTAAAAGTTTTTAATGTATAGATCAAACTTACAATTTTTTTAAAAATTTGAAAATATATGACACTTCGTTATATAAATTTAAATTAATATATAAAATAATTTTATGATTATCTATTAATTTGAATTATCAAAACGAATTATCAAATAATTTTCAAAGTTTTTAAAAATTTGTAGACTTGGTATATGCATTATGAACTTTTAACTTAACGATCGGATCAATAAAATTTAACATACACCATGAATTATCGAGTGAAATAATTTTATCAAGAGTTACTCTTTGACTAATTTGATCCTCCCCCCCTCCCCTCTCTCTATATATATTATTAGTAATATAACATTATTGATAAATTAATACCGATAATATTATCATTATATTTATAGATAACTTAATAGTTTCATAGATATAAATTAGTGTATATTAACATACTATTATGAAAATATAAATATATTAGATAAGATAAATATATTAAAAAAAAGTTAATCAGAAATATTGATACATAATATCACATGTAAGCTCCATATTAACAAAAAAAAAATTTAATAAAAGAAACTAAAATCATACAATTGCGATGTTTAAGGGACTAAAATTTTTACTCAGTTAAAATTTCACGAGCCAAAATTACACAAGTACGGTATTTAGGAAATTAAAATTACTTGATTAAAATTTGAGAGATTAAAATCATACAACTGTAATACTTAAGGGACAAAAATATATTTAAGTCAAAAAATTTAATTGATAAAATAGTACTTATAAATAAAATAATCTAAATCAATAGTCAGTACATAAAATATCTTTCTCAATTACAATATTTATACTTATAAATTTCTCTTTTCTAACTCATTTTAAAATTTTCACATTAGCACCAATTCAAGATGAGAATTTCATAATAGAATTTAGAATCTCTGATGTTCATCCTTGTTGGGATACAAGCAAAGTCTCACATCGTTCAAACAAGAGGATGAACATGAGTTTATAAACACACAGTTGTCTCCATTAAAGAAAGATCTTTTGGGTGACGTTCAAAAGCAAAATCGTGAGGACTTGGGCCCAAAGTGGACAATATCTCACCAGTGTGGAGATATGTGTATATATGTGGTAACCCCCAGTGCACAACAAGTAGTATCAGAGCTGATGATCTAATCAGGTGACCGGCTCGACGAGTATGATGGTTGGCAGGTAGATCCAAGTTTGGGATCCCTTGTGTCGAAAGTCTTCCTAACGGTGGGTCCATGTGGAAGAGAGGCTTCCTGGTAACATGGAGGGCAGAGCGTGAGTAAGCTTTGTGGGCCATCATCGGATAATATTTGTAGTTTTCGCCGCAGGGAAAGGGGTAAACCGTGGTCCTTTGTTTGAGGGGAGGATTGTTGAGATGCAAGCAAAGTCCCACATCGTTCAAACAAGAGGATGAACATGTGTTTATATACACACAGTTGTCTCCATTGGTTGAGAGGCCTTTTGGGTGATATCTAAAAGCAAAACCGTGAGGGCTTGGACCCAAAGCGGACAATATCTCACCAATGTGGAGACATGTGTATATGTGTAGTAACCCCCCAGTGCTCAACAATCCTATAATCAAATTTTAATATAGTCATCTAGGAACATTTTATACTCAAGTTGGTATGTGTAGAAGATGATGCAACAAATAGAATTATAATATGTGTATCTTTATCCAAAAAAAAAAATATGTGTACCTTTTTTGCGACAAACCTAGTTATAAGTCTCTCAAGAAGTTAGTCTAATGCTTTGTATGACGTGGTTTGTGTTGTGGGGGTGCCTTTAGTATTAAATCCTTTATCTCATAGTGTTTATTACTGACAATTCAAGTTCATATTCTTGTACTATACATATATGTTTTAATTAAATATTTTATGATATGTGTAATTTAATTAAAGATACATTATGTTTTTAGTTGTTTTAGAATTTTAAAGATCAAAGGATCATGAAGAGTTAAGTTGATTTTGAGGTTATTTGTGATGGGATCAAGTTAACCAAGTTTATAAGAGAATATTTAAGATTTTTCTTAAGACATAAACTTCATAAGTTCATATATAACTTGAGGAAAGCTAAAGAGAAGTTAGAGAGATAGATTCTAGAGTTAGAGAGATCCTTTGCTTCTTCTGATTTTGCAAGAACCTTATAGGTCCTTTCCTCAACTGAGTAATAGTAGTATATTTGAGGATTCACAACTTGAGAGCTTAGAAATTTAAGGTTGAATTGTCGTATGATGACCCCGAAAAATTTGTTGATCGATTATATTGAATTTGTGACATCCATTCTACCCCAACATATATTAATAAAATAAGAATTTTTTTTTCATAACTCTGAGTAAAATGGTTCACATATAAAACACCTCCAAATATCCAATTAATTTGAAATAAAATTTAGAAATAAAAGTTTTACAATTGTATCTAACAAAAGAGACATGAGATCAATGAAATAAAACTTCAAATCTAAGCCCCTTGCCTCGATGTCACACTATTAGAGCAACCTATACTTCAAATTTTGGCACCTGGAGTGCCACCCATACCAAGTTTCTCTTTATCTAAAACAATCACAAACTATACGGTAAGAAAAGAAAACATTCATATATACAAGTCACAAAAAGAAATTCCAGCCAAGAAAAATTTAATTATAAAATTTATATGCTCAAAATATTTACTTATTTTTAGAACTTTAATATATATATATATATATATATATATATAATTAAAGATTTTAATCAATTACACCTCATGTTATCAATTCCAAAAACCATTCCATACTACCATCTCACCACAATTCCATTCAATTCAATCACCACATCACAATACAAATATGCACCATGAACACACTCACATCGATACTCATGCACCATAACCTCCTAAGAAGCATTGACTTAGAACGCCGCACAATGGACAAACCTTATCAATCCTCTCAGGCACCACCTCACACTTATCCACTGTTATACACCACATAGGCCAGTGGATATATAAGTGTAACATGCATTCCTTGTTAAACACCATACAAGTCAAGGTAATGCACTTCCCTGTTAATCACCACACAAGCCAAGGCGGTTACACCTATATATTATACATTCCCATGGTAATGCATATGCGTCTATCGATGGTCATACCATTCCACCACATCCATTCTCATACTCCTCCATGTCAATGCATTTCACACAAACGTTTTCATACATGCAAATGATTTACACACAAACATTCTCAAACATAATAATGCATTACACACAAATTTTCTCATATATCCCTCATTCAATTACCAATTATTCACAATTAATCACCCTCAATCAAGTACACACCATTCATACATATATTTATACATAACACTCGTCAAAACCACATAAAATTCACAAGAGAGCGGTGCAGTTTGACTTTTCATATCAACACGCACTGATGGAAACCCACTTCCCAAGGTTTCCTTTTGAAGAGATAAGACTAAGAAGGGTGAAGGTTGATGGAGGAACATCCATAGGACGCTCACACTTGAAGGCCATTGAACCTTGTTAAAGGTCCATAGTTAGGAGGCTTCTATAGAGGAGATGCTTCTTAGACATATGTTTTATATGAGCATTGAGTATGATTCCTCTTTTTAGTCTCATAATCTCTATTGTACATACTTTGTATAGTTTGAATTCTTTTATTGTTATATAGTAGATACTTATATAGACTTATTTTTGCCTTTGTATTTGTAAGACACATTTATTTTTCTTTGTAGGTCATACCCTAAGGGTTTTAGGATATGTTGCTTGGAGATTTTTACTTCATTTAACCTTTTATTAAGGGTTATAGATTTTCATATTTTTAGTTTTAGTAGTGGGTAGCAAGTAGCAAATGTGTAGGTGAAATTAATAATTGGGCCTTTAGTGGGTCTAGGCCAAATTTTACATATTAGACTTGTTTTTGTCCATTTAATCCAAGAAATTGATTTAGCTAGGTCTCACCATCATTTGGTGAACCTAACTAAAGCAATTCCAAGTTTTTTGGATTGGATTAAATGAAGAAAAATAAGCTTAGCCGCCCATCCTCCTTCTTAGACAAATTCTAGTCTAGCTTTTCCAACACACTTGCCTCTTGGCTTGCCAAGGGGACAAAATGAAACTTGACACTCTATGATTGGTTCTTCTAGATCTAAGTTTCCCCTCCTTGTCTCCTAGGAGACAACATGACATTTAACACCTTATGATTGGCTAATCTAGATCTAAGTGTCCCTACCTTGTCTAGCTTGTACTACAAGCTTCTCCACCACTATATATATATATATATATATATATATATATATATATATATATATATATATATAGATAGATAGATATAGACTGTTTCACTTGTAAAACTTACTTTTGATGCATTTTATGAGATTTGATTGAGATTTCTTCTTTGATTTCTCTCTCTCAAAAATCTAAATTCTCTTTTTGATTTGCTTCCAATTCTCTTATCCTCTTCTTAAGAGTGTGGTGAGAGTTAAAGTAATTTATCTTCTACCTTGAAGTGACACCACTTGAAAAGAGTGCTTCACGTTCTAAGGTGAAACCATAGGTCTCTACCTCCATCAGAGACCTTGAAGAAGTTTGAAGGGTGTTAAGAAGCAAAAGATGGAATTTAAAGGAGAAGTCATATCAATCTGATTACTCTATTAGGTTTCCATAATGTACTCTCTTAAGGGAACCCTTTAGTTATCTTTGTCTCTCTTTGATATGGAATGTCAGAAAAGAAAAAAAAATGTAGTACGATCTGGGAACCTAACCTATTTATAAAGAATCTCATATTCTTTCATAAAATAGAATTATCTTTTATGTATCACACATTAAAGGTCTCGTCATTTCAAATACATAATTGTTCAAATAATTTATACGTCATTAAATCATTTTAATTTGACATAACCTTACATTTCCTTAATATATAATTATTCACATATAAGGTCAATGTTGGATTAAGGATCCAACACATTCTTCTTATTAACCCAAATTTTCATGAAGTTGAAGAGAACAAAAAAGGTTAAAGTTATTTTCTTTTGGATTATTATAACTTAAAACAACATAATTATGTAATAATTTATTTCATTTAAATTGTAATTGTTTCTTAAATGATAGAAAATATTGTGATTTTTTTTTATACGAGGATTTGATTGGAAGACAAAAGATAACTATATTAGATCTAATAATATCATCAAAAGTTAATATTTTATCTTTTTGTTATGTTTAATATGTCTCTTTTAATTCAATTTAATATATTTATGTAAAAAATATTTTACTTATTTAATTCAACATACAAAAATTTAGGGTATTGTTTTCACAAAAATAATAGAGTGATTCAAATATGGATGATGTTATGAAACATGCCTCAAAAAAATTTCTTTTGCTGAAACAAAGTTCTTGCGTAAGCATTGGTTATAGTTGTTATAAAGTATAATAGAAATAACTAGTTAATAATTATTATAATTAATTAATAATATAATTATTATGAAATTAATATAAAATAAACAATATTAAAAAAAATTAAGGATGTGGATTAAAAAGATTTGAAAAGTTGTAATTATAAAAATTAAAAAGATTTATTTTAAATTGTAAAAATTAAAAAAGGTTAAAAAAATAAATATAAAGACTAAAAAGATATATTTTTAAAGTATAAAAACTAAAAAATAAAATAAATAAAGTTATAATAATTTTTTTTAATCAAGTTTAGTTCTTGGTTGAGAGAAAAAAAAAAGTGGTGGTCAATCTCACACTTACCGAATGAAGCATTAATTAACTTTTAGGTTATAGCTGATTTTCCAGCAAATCTCGTGTTACAATTCCAACAACCAGTTTAAAAAGAGAGATTAGAAAAGAAATAACTTAATTACTATCATATTCATTAACCTTTCCAAATGACATCGACCTATATTTTACTCTTTTACAAAATCTAATAATAATCAATGACGTAAAACTATTTCGCATGAAAACCATGGCTACAATCTAATCTATCGTTTCTGGTAATGCAACATTCAAAATCTTCGTCTCTACTCTCTCAGAATAGAAACCTTTTCGTAATCTTACTTTAACCCATCACCCACCAATCGAACATTTTCTGCTGATTTTTGACCTTCAGGTAACTTTACTTCTTTTATTTCCTGGGGTTTCAATTTTTTCCTTTGTTTGAATCTAATTTTATGGAAATTATTAATGGGGTGGCGATATATATGCAAACGGTGAAATCTTGTTGAGACTCGGGGAAATGGGGGATGTAGTTAGTGGAAGATCAAGGAGTGGAAAGATGGGTACTATTGATGATATTGAAGTTAGGATTTTGAGTGAGATTTAGTTCAACATGTGGAGAATTTAACTGATTCAGTTTGTTTGAGTTGGGTTGAAATTGATTGTAGGACTCTTTAGTGTGAATTGCTATGCTATTTTGGCACAACACAACGCTGGTGTTCACAGGTTTAAAGGAAAGTACACGAAACTCTGCTACCAGTATCTGGCTGAGTTTATTGGCAAAGCAAAATTTTGAATTTGAAGATATATTGTGTATTGAATGCTGGCAATTAGCAGAGCATTGGGTTTTATACCCCTTAATATTGTTCTTCTTTTTATTTGGTTGTTTCCTTTTTATTTGATTGATTATTTTGGTTAAGGTTTTATTATTTAATTGGGTGGAAATCACTTGTCGCAGTCTCTTGTCCCTTCAATTAAAAAGTGATATGTGATTAAAATGTAACATTCTTTTTCCTATCATGTTTCACTTTTTAATTGGGGGGAACGGGACATGGAACAAGAAATGGGAAGAGATGAATTTGTTCCATTCAATTCACCTATTAGTATAGGAATAAGGCCTCTTTTTTTTTTTTTTCCTCTTTCCATTGTCCAGTAATTTTCTTCTGGTATATGTGCTTGTTGAACTAATGAGCACATTGGTTCTATTTTCTTCCAATTTCAGGTTTTAGTTTGAGAATTGCACAAAGTATGGATCACCTCAGGTGGTAGAGGTGGTTCATGACTCCAGTTATGAAGGTTGTGGTGGAAAAGAATGCTGAATACTGATGGAGACTACCTCAGCTAAAAAAAGTACTGTATCAGTACTGCAAGTGAGAAAGGATGAACTATGATGCAATTGCTATGGATGAAACACAGGACCAGTATTATTCTTCCAGTCTACCTGAGTCTTCCTTATCTCATGACAGTGGCGGGAGGTCTTATTTCAATGGGCAAATGAATCGAGGTACTGGTATATCAGGCCTAAAGAAGAGAGGTCATGGAAGTCGGTCTTGGATTAAAATCGGTCAGGATGGGAATTCTCAGACTGTGACCCTTGACAAGGCAACTATTATGAGACATTGTTCTTTGCCTTCTAGAGATCTCCGGCTATTGGATCCAATGTTCATTTATCCTTCTACAATATTAGGACGAGAGAAGGCTATTGTAGTCAACCTTGAGCAAATCCGGTGTGTAATCACTGCTGATGAGGTCATCTTGATGAATTCATTGGATGGTAGTGTCGGTCAGTACAGGTTAGAATTATGCAATCGGCTTCAGAATGAAAAAGCTGGTAAGCATTGCAGCTCATATTGCTGTAACGTATACATTTAGGTGCAAGGAAGACTCGTGGGAAAAAAAATGTTGTGTCTAGATTCATTATGACTGTATTAGCATACCTAATGGTCTTTTCTGTTGTAGCACTGTTTGGGAATGGATGAAGAAAGATAAGGGATAGACATTGAGTGTTGTAAGCTGTCAAGTCTTTTCTTGATAATACTTTGAATTTGAAAGCTTAAATCGAATATGATACTTCTTCAGCTGTTGTGATTTCTTTCTTGAAAGCAATGTTATAAATGCTATATTTCCAATTCCAAGCTATTCTGAGGTTTTTTAAGCTTTCTGGTGGAGGTCATTACTGCATAGAATTGCTTATTTTGTCTTCCATTTTTGAACAGATGATCTACCTTTTGAATTTAGGGCACTGGAGTTGGCTCTAGAATTGACGTGCACATCTTTGGATGCTCAGGTATGCATTGATCTAAAACTCTTATTTGCTTGGAAACCTTCCACATTTTTGGCTGTGAATTGGTGATGGTATTTTTCTACATTTTCATCAACTATTCTGATCATTTGCCTGCAAATTCAGATAATCCATAAAACTTATTCTGAATTTCTGATTGCACTTTATTGACTGCCCACAATATATTCCACCGTTCTCTGCAATCAAGATTCAGGCTGGTAAAAGTCCTAGGATTAATTCTGTGTAGCACTAAAGAAATTTAGGGAGACAAAAGTATGTGCAAGGAGATCTGAAGAGGGTGATCTTCTAGCTAATATCTTACGAGTATATAAAAAGAAACTTCTATTATTAAGGAAATTGGATCTCTTATTACAGCTATGGAACCCCTTTGTATTATTGTATAGTATTAAAGCCATAATCAAAAAGCAAATCCTGGCCCTTATGTCTAAATCCAAACCATCTAAAAGGCTAAAAGAAACTAATAGACACAAATACAATAGAAAATAGAAATCCACAGTAGTGGCTAATACAGTAGCATCTTTAGGGGTGGGTATGGGTTGGATTTTTTAAAAATCCAATCCATATCCAATTAAATGGATTGGATTTAAAATACATATCCTTATTTTTTAAAAATTGTGATTGGATTTCTTGAAACTAGTTTTAAAACCGGTTTGTGGTTCAAAACCAGTTTTAAAACTGGCACAATTTTAAAACCAATTATAAACCATAAATCATTTTGAAATCGCTTCATCATTCAAAAACAATTTTCAAACCGATTTTGAACAATAAAATAGTTTTGAAAACTATTTTAAAATTAATTTATGGTTCAAAATTAGTTTTAAAATTGGTTTGGTTTTAAATCATAAATCAATTTCAAAGATTGTCTTAAATTTGATTTATGATTCAAAGCCAAAAATTGGTTTGATTTTACTGCTATTTATTATTATTCTTTAATATTGACAAGTTCTTTCTAAAGCATAAATTTAAATTGTTCACCACTTGATATTTAACATTATTCCTTAATAATGTTGCCCTTTCTATAACATATAAAAGTAAAGAGTGCACCTCAATAACAAAACAAAGAAAACGTTATAAATTAGTTTATACTTGTTATAAAATTTTTACAATAATAATATATCGGAAACCGTTTTATATATAACTTTTAAAATAATTTTTAAAAAAATTAATAATCTCACTATACATTGTTAATATATTCTAATTAAATTATTTTGAAGATTGTACTTTTTTTTTCGTTTTGTATTATGAATATCTTATAAAAGATATTTTTAAGATATATGTTACTTCTTTACAACTGTTTGTAATACTTATAATTAATTTTAAAACTGTTAAGAATGGAAAGATACATTTCATTAAGAAATAAGAATAAAGAGAGGTGTTTTGTTATGTTACAAGAAAGAAGGCAAATGGAACACATTTCCTTGTTGTATAGGCATAGTTAATAGCAACTTTTGCAATTAGTGAATATGTTATTAATTATTATTAGCACATGAATAAATAAATGATAAAAGTATAGAAATAAATAATAAGTAATGAGGGATGCTCTACCTAATGTATTCTTGGAGTTGACATTCGTTTTACAAAGGAAAATTAACCACGTTAGTTTGTTAATCACTTAGCTAGATGTAGATACAGAGTTGTGTATCTTCATTATAAAGGTTGAATGGAATTTATTCAATTATTTTAAACACAATTTGAAATAAATATAAATAATACTATTTTTTTTTTCATTTTATAATTTTGTTCTTGCGAAGCCATTACACCAACTCCGCCTAGACTAAAGAAATATTCAATTACTAACTATATTTAGTTTCTTTTATGATGAATATACAAAAATAATTTATTAATAATTAAATTAATTTTTTAAGATATTATAAAGCAAGAGAGAATTATGTTTTGAGATGGTATAACAACTTTTGGTTTGTGTAAAAATGGATATGGATATTAACCGGGTACTTAAATGGATATGGATATAATAATCAATGCATTAAAATAGATTTATAGTAGAGCAAATTGGTATGGATATGGATTGGATTTGGTGATCCGGATATTTTGCACAGCCGCTAAGCGTGAGAGTACTTTGGTACACTAGCGTGATCAATATCAAATTCTAGTTGCTCCAATAGATGTCCAGGTGTCTAACATATAATTATGATTGATTCCCCTTTGTCCTACATCAGTTTCTACTCTATTTGTTTATGTTCACATGAGAAAGGGGTCAAACACATTGGGGGGATATTGTAGCCAATGATCTTTGATTGTCTAGATAACAAACATGAATTCAGGCTGTGGTTGCTATCATCACTTGATGTGTGCAAAATACATTACAGGGAAAGTGTACCCTGTTGCACAATATAGGAATAGAGTCCCAAATATCCTCCCATAGAGACTAATTAGCTATTACCAATGTTGCAAGACTTATGCTATTCAGACAACAAATTAAGAGGGTGAAAAGAACTTGGATTAAGTTTAATTTTAGGAGAAGAAACTGATCTTTTTTTGTACTTTGATCAGACTTACATGGAAAGATTATATAGGTTGAGGTGGCTGCAAGAGATCCTAACCGCCCTAATTACAAAATAAATAAAGATAAGATAGGAAAAAAAATAAAAGATAAGATCAAATTAGATTTGAATAATTTGATATTGATCTTAACTACCTAAATCTTCTAGAAACATTATTTGAAATAAAATTATATACAACTGTCAATAGCCCCCACAAGTTGGTGTGTAGATGTCCAACATGTAAAAATTTTGTAAGAATTTGAAATTCAAAATTAGGTTTCAACAGTTCTTTTGTAAGAATATCTACTTGTGAAATAGGAAGAAATGGAATGCATATTAGGCTTGCATCCACCTTCTCTTTTATAAAATGTCTGCAATTTCCACATGCTTAGTTTGATCATGTTGAATGAGGTTCTAGGAAATACTAATTGCAACCTTGTTATTGCTAAACAACTTCATGGGAAAAGTCATAAGAAGTTGTATAGATGTCCCTAAAAACTATCTTCATCAAATCCTTGTGTTGATATCTTCATAAAATCTTTTTGCTATAATCTCCATCAAATGTTCTAAACTATTTTTCATCCAATTTAATTATAAAATAAGAGAAATTGGGCAAAAACCAATACAAGAGATAAATTAACATGAAGTTTCACAATACCCCCCAAGAAATATGAAGGAATGAGGGTTTATCACTGCTCTCCCATCTTATTCTTATCTTTGGACCTAGGTCATTGTAGTGTAAATTTCAATGGCTTCAGTCTAGGTATAGGCATATAGCTTGGATTTTGCAAATTGTTGTTTCAGTGTTGGAATTCAGGTAATTGTGTTTATATGCCATATTGTATGGCTTGCTAAATGCATAGGAAAATATGTTGAATAAGCTACCAGCCATATGTAAATAAATTGTCATCTTGAGTCCCGTGTATCATTACAAAGGACGTTGATTTGATAGGTAAAAGAACTGGAAATGGAGATATATCCTGTGCTAGATGAATTGGCCTCATCTATCAGTACTCTCAATCTGGAACGTGTTCGAAGATTTAAAGGTCACCTACTTGCTTTGACTCAACGAGTTCAGAAGGTTGATTAATGTAGAATTATTATCCTTGATTACTATTCTCATTTTTTTCCAGCTTTCTGTTACCTGCAGCTAGTAACTTACTGTTAATTCCCAGGTTCGTGATGAGATAGAACATCTCATGGATGATGATGGTGACATGGCTGAAATGTGCCTAACTGAGAAAAGGAGAAGATCGGACACTTACACTTTTAGTGATTGTTTTCAAACTCATGCATCAGGTAGAGTGATTTCAAGATCAGCTCCTTCTTCACCAGAGCGAACAATTAGTGGAGTCCAGATGTTGCAAAGGGCTTTTAGCAGCATTGCAAATTCCAGTAAACATGGTAGTTCAATGGGTTCATCTGATAATGGGGAAAGGATTGAGCCTCTTGAAATGTTGCTTGAAGCATACTTTGTCGTCATTGATAATACTCTTAACACACTATTGTCGGTATGAGAAATTTGACTTACTCATCTGTAGCATTAGAATCTGTGTTGGATATCATAGTATTTGCTTACATAACATTATCACGCTTTCAGCCAATCAGCTGTTGCATTCTGATTTTTGCAAATGAGTAGTAGCCTTAGTGACCTTTTTATGTAAACTAACAGCATATGGTTTTATTAATTAGGCATGATGCTTCATGCAAATGCTAAGTGAATATTTTTTTCTGCTGGTAATGGTATGCAGCTCAAAGAATACATTGACGACACAGAAGATTTTATCAACATAAAATTGGTAAGATAAGATTTACAATTTGCAACATTCTGCTGTGCTGATTATTCTTTTATTTCATTGATACTCTAAATTGTATAAACCAAAGAGCGTTACTTTTACTCTATCTATTACAGGGAAATATTCAAAACCAGCTAATACAGTTTGAGTTGCTTCTTACGGCTGCTACATTGGTGGCTGCAGTATTTGCTGCTGTAGCAGGAGTATTTGGAATGAACTTTGAAACCACAGTTTTTGACTATCCATCCGGATTCAATTTGGTTTTGGTAATTACCGGAATTGCTTGTGTAGCATTGTATTTGGCCCTCCTATTTTATTTTAAGTACAAGAAAGTGCTTGAAGCATAAACTTCAAAAGCTGTAATTTGAGTGTGCATACCACCGAAAGCCATATTGGTCAAGGTGACTGCTTGCAGCCATATACACATCTATCTGTTTGTGGAAGGTAATCTACTCATAACTCACTGCTTCAACATGGCTGGACACTTTGAAGCTTTGGACATTTCATCAATCAAGATGCCATTGTTATGCTTGGGCAACTATCCACGGTGCAGGCCAAGATGTCTCTATAATCCCGTGATATTTTGAAGGAGTCGTGAACCTTCCCATCTCTGCTCTTCTTGTACTCAAACAACAAATTTGAATGATCAAATGCAGTTAGTTTTACAAACCCATAGTCATAGTCTTTAAAGATGCTCCATTTGGTTTTGAGGGAAGTAAATGTTGAAAGGCTTGCCCCACCACCACCAGCAACAATATGTATGGTCCCATTTAAGGTTCCCTTATAGTGGTGTTTCTCTTCATTAGTGCAGATATTCTGTTGCAAAATGTAAAAATGGTACTTGTTAGTAGAGCGAATATCAATTCAACACCCAAATTCAAATGATGTTATTTCTGGCATGTAAATTGTTTCATTTTTCTCAAGAAGAGCATAGTAGGGATTAGGGATCTTGACGTTTTGAATACTTAATGCTTAATTCTCGTTGTTGTGCTATTAATGAAACATGTTAGCCCTATTCACCAAAATTTGAATGGATGAAGTGCACAAGATTGAAGAGACCTGGTATATGGGGCATGTCCTCTCATAATTGTGCACATGGCCATAGATGGCAATGTCCACCTTGTATTTCTGCCAGAGCTTTTGAAGGCTCTCTCTCCCCATTGGTTCAGCAAATGATCCCTCTTCTGCATAACAGATACAAGAAGAGTATCCAAGTACACGATGTGCAAGGAAAATTAGCCATGGTTGTTTTTGTCTGTCAACTGTTGCCAAACAATGCTCAATGAACTTGTATTGTTCTGTTCCTTCTCTCCAATCATGTTCAGTGTCAGCAATACAAAAGCGGAACATGCCATAGTCGATTGAATACCTGGTGAAAGAATGTAAAAATGTAACATGTTCCAAATACCTGATGAATTATGTCGAGTGTTCTCTACCTAAAGCTTCGATACCAAAAACTATGGTGGACTCTGTTATAAAATTATTTCAGTGGCTCATTGTGGTCACTTTAACCTTTCAATCAAATTGATTATTAAAGACTATCTTCTTGTCACACTTATAGTAAAAGATAGTTTCATAAAAATTTAACATGTTGCCATACCTATAGAATACCTTAAGTATATTTTGGACTTAAATTTCTAGAAATGTGCAAGTCACTTTTGGAGTTATACATGATTAATTTTAGAATAATAGTTAAAAAGATAAGATGATGCCATTAGAAAAAAAAAAAAGTAAAAGCTTCAATACTATATCTTTTTAAGAACTAATTTGATTATTTACTCTTCTTTATTGAATGCCATAGTAATTGTTAGTAATCAATTTCCTTCATGCTCAAATCATGGCAAATCATTAACCCCGACAGCAGATAACCTTTCTACATGGGAAAATCCTAAAATTTGCTAATTTATTGATCATCATCTATTCATCTCAAATGCATGGAAGTCATATTGCCATACCAAAGCTTAGCCCTGTTCAAAGCAGGGGTGTAGAACATAGTCTGTGCCAACACACCACATTCTCCGCCAGAGTCCATGTTCTCATAAAAGGACCCTGTTCCAGGCCAGTCTCGCTCATGGTTCCCACTGTAAAGACAAAAGCAGCACAAGGTGTCACAGTTAAAAAGGAAAAACAATTGACTAATTTTTGGGGTAGGCTATGTAAAAACCTTGCAATCATGTAAGGCACAGTTGATGCAATTGGCTCCACCTGTGCTGTAAATTGATCCCACTGAGAAAGATATCCATTTGCATAACTTATATCTCCAATATGGAAAACAAGGTCAATGTTTTCCAAGTCCTGGATAAGCTGCTTGGTAGTGTTAATTGAACCATGCTGGAAATTGTTGTATTCATTGGAACCATCAACTTCCTCCTGCATGGTTAAATATGTATCAAATACTAAGAGGATTGAATGATAAAAAGATTGTAGTTCATATTGGGAATAATAGGATCTCATAGTCATATTGAGATTCACGCGTATGGAAAAAACTTTGTAAGGAGGAGCTTAAAGGCCTTTTGGATAATTTCTCCAAAATATACTTATAAGAGAAAAAAAATATAAATTAGAAAGAAAATATAAAATTAGTTTCTTCAAATGCTAAAATTAACTTATACATAAGTTAAAAAACTCTCTCATATTAATTTCTCAAAAAAAAAAAAATTTAACTTGTACATAAGTCAATTTTAACTTATAGAAGGGTTATATTATTGTTATTTATTTGAGGGGATATTTATATCAAGAGAAGAGGATTATAACTTTGTTATTTTTATAAGGTTATTTCACACACAATTTGAGATAGATATTGGCTGGATTATAACTTTGTTATTTTTATAAAGTTATTTCATACACAATTCCACAATTGTGAGGTATTGGCCGCTTTGAATCTGAGCTTATACGATTTTGCTTTTAGTTATTACCCAAAAAACCTCTCAATTATTGGAATATGTGTGTGCTTTATAAACTCTTATTTCTTTTCTTATTTTATCAATATGAGATCTTGTTTATATCCCAACAACACATTACAGTTAAACAACAATTATATGCCTAATATGCAGTTTGTGAACACCTGAAACTATGGCAGTTTCTTAAAGAAAGAGTAGGGAAAGAAGTATTGTCTGTAAGCATCCCTTAGAATATTCTTTGGTTTGATACCACAGATTAGATTTTAAAAGGCCAAGCAAGATAGAATTGATTTAGTATCCTCCCAGTATGAGCGAATCTCAATGTTAGACATCAAATTATTAGAATATGTTATGATCAAACTCCATGACCGAAATTGCTGACAAATATAATAGATGTCATCCATCAAATATATGCATGCATATATTTTCATAACAGTTCAAACCTTTCCCATATCTCCAAATATGACTACACGTTGTAAGGACTTTTGTCCAGGAAAAGGAGGTGCTCTAAACTGATAGTTTCCGCTCCAGATATATGTAGCATTGTTTAATCTGTGTCCTATCTTGTACTCATATCTGCACAATCAACAGAAAGCACAATTAAACAACTATCGTGACATCATTATAATAAACTCACTAATTTAAATTGAAAATATGATGCAACACAGTAGGTTTTATCTAGTTAGGAACTCGATAACAAAAACAAAAAAGTTGTTATTAATGGTTGTTGTTAAGGTCTCAATTTAAGATGAAATCTAAAGCAGATAATGACAATACAACAAAATAACAATAATTAAGCCTTACTACACTGGGTGGAATTCGCCCTTAATAGATAACAATATCAAATAAAAAATTATAGCTTCAAAGTGAAGCTCCCATAAAATTAATGAAAAAATAATCTATAACATTTATAATCTATAACAATATATAAAGACGATACAATATTTTTATGTACACATTTTTTTAGACATTTTTATCCTTTATTTAATTTGGCAAGCGCACACCCTCTTTTTTTAGTGTAGAAAAATTCAGTAATTTTATTTATCCAAAATGATTTTTTCTTTAATAAATTGTAACTTCCTTACAATTTTATAATTTTCATGCGCATAGTATTCACATGGCACGGAGTGCCTTTATTTTACTAGTATACTATAAAGTAAAACGAAATCTGAATATAAGATTCACGTATTTGTATTGGCATATACCTTGAAAGTGGAAAACACTAAATTAGAAAGAACATAAAACTAGGCCTAAGCTAGAAATTAGTCAAAATACGTACATTCTGTTGGGCCACAGTTCTTTCAGATGACTGGTGTGTATGTATCCAGGGTCACGCCATCCCACTGTTCTTGCTGGTGCACCTGTTCATAAATAGATAATGTTAATGAGAAATGAGCAATACTTTTGGAAAAATTTTCCACCAAACTAAACTTTCAAGAAAACTGAAGTTCCCAATGGTAGACTAAGCACTTTGTTCAAGGATATGAAGCATAAACACTTTGTGTACATATCTAATTTCGTTCTGTTACCCTTTTGGTGTCCTTGTAATGTCTTGTATTGTGTTAGTGTCAGTGTCATGATCCGGATTCCCTGCATTCACTTTTCCATGCATTTAGCTTTTCAGAAACGTTGGATGAAGATTGAACTGCTCATATTTTCTCTCATTGAATCAACTTGAAACAAATTCATAATTTCAGCCGTCCAATCTTCATCTAACAGTTATGAATGCATTAAACTTATGGATGAAAAAAAGTGACTGCACTGAATCCAGTTCCGTCCATGTTTCTTAGGTTGAAGGGTATTAATGTACTTACAGTTGAAAGGACCGAATTTGACATACAGTAATGTAATCCTTTTGATCAACAGGAGCATTGAGACATTCTTTAGATTTTATATATTTTTTTTTTTGAAAAAGGCAGAGATTTATTAGGAACAAATTGATAGTGGAGATATCACAAGTTTTGGCCTATGACCTACACCCAAAAAACAAATACATCAGTCCATGATTATAGTGAACACCAACACAACCTGGTACCAAATTCAATATTCAAAAGGCATAAATCTGAATTTGGTACTAAAGAGCGAGCAATAATATGAAATCTACTTCAGCTCTTCCATACATAACATAGGTTGAACTTGCTAGTGGTAAAACATAAGATGCCTCATTTCCTTTCGGGGAACCTATCTCTTGCCATCACATCATTTATTATATTTATTAATGATGTATTATATTTATTAATGATGGAGGGAGATGGACATAAAAATGATGTTATACAAATTGTTCTATGTGTATCATTATCCTTTAAGAGAGATTACACAATTTTATACAGACTAATGATACACGTACAAAAATTTATACAACAGTTCGCATAATATCATTTTCGGTGTGTATCTATCTCCATTAATAAATGTAATAAATGATTCAATGGAAAAAGATAAACACAAAAAATGTTGTACAGGTATCATTTCTCAATTCCAAATGTCAAGGTCAAGCACATATCAAAGATGTTCAAATTGCAAGATATACCCCAACTGTAAAAATTTACTGACTTCCCTTACCACATAAGCTATCACTAGTGAAAGTCAGTGTCTCAGCAGGAGAATCCATATGATCCCCTCCTTTTGGACCCCATTGAACAAAAGGTTCGGCATCACTGATCCCATATCCACTTGTCCATGTTACAGTCATCTGATTTATGTTCAAAGTGATATTGTTTTAATTTGATAAAATGAAAGAAGCATTTAAAGGAAAAACAGTAAATGTAACACAAATATTTTTAAAAAATTAACTAAAAGAGATAATAGCAGCATGCTGAATGCTTTCTTTCTTCACATAACATTTGCTTACATAGGGAACTTACTTATCCTTGTAACATCAATTGTATTAGTTTTATGAAGTCTAGGACTGAAGAAACTGAACTTACCTCGTTCCATGACTTTCCTAGCGCCAAGCGAGGGTAAACTGGTGCGTTTGGATTTGCAAAAGCTATTTTATTTGACACTGCCACTAGCTTTGGCTATCATGAGGTAAATAGAAACAAATAAGCGAACGCATTTAGCTATTTCATGATAGATGTACAATTTATAAGTGACAGTTTATAAAATTGGACAATCTGATGGAAAACTAGATTGGGTCCAAGGACCTTGATCAAAACTGAGGATCATCAATCTAATTATAATATATAATAGTTTAGACAATGAATATAACATCAAATGAATAAAATAAAACTGCAATAGTAATATTGTTCTTATCAAGTTCAAAGTAAGAAGCAATGTATAATACATTTCTTTTTGTGATAGTTGCTTCAATTAGAGTTCTTGTCTATCTGGTAGGGGAGAGATAGTCCAATAATAATAATTCAATTCATATACACGCACATATATAGCCTATAGGAAGCTTATCGGGTGAGAGATGACAGCATAAGAGGAGCTAATCTCAACCATCGATATATAGTTGTAAGGCCAAAATTAACACCTGTCACCTCCCACTCGTGCTCTCACTAGATTTCATAGTAATAGCAAAATCTGAAGAGGTAATGCTAAGACTTGGTATCTAAAAGGAAAATACTACAAAAGCGGAACAAAAGTGAACAAAAAAGACAAACTGAAAAGGAGAGAAACAAACAAGATAATGATCACTCATCCCACAACGTAACCTTTAAAGGGATTTGTTAACACTATTTAAAAAGAAAAGGAAAAAAGAAAAGGCAAGAATATTCTCATGGACCAAACCTACTTCAAAATAATTTGGGCATACAATTTGGTTTGTAAAGAATCTTAGAATACTAACATCCACTTGAATACTTGATCAAGCAAGTTCAAATTAATGACAGCTTACGTTTGACAAGCCACCAGAAAATAGTGCAAATGAGAAATCTGATCTCTGATTAATTAGCTGAAGCTTCAGAAACCCTTTTCCAGTTACTTTGTAGAGGGGACTTGAGTAATTTGCATATTGATACTGCACAATGATAAACTCTCATTAGACCATCACTTCAAGAAAACCAACTAAAAGTATTGGAAGTTGGGATTTTTCTACTATCATAATTAAATATTTTAAATTCTTGCAGTTTTCTATTCTGCTTGTATGTTTGGACAAAGATTGCTTATGACAGAAAGAGTAATAAGCAAATAAAATTTGCTTGTTAACTTGGTCATAATTTACTTTTAACTTTATCTAATCAAGAGTTAGTTTTAGTATTTAAGCACTTATTGTAGCAATTTCAATGTGTGCAAAATTAATTTCCTAACTCAAATGTATTAGATCATTTTTTGGTCTCTTTGTACGTGAGGTTGAAGATTTTCTAATTTTAGACTATTATATGTTTCCTTAGTCTTATTCCATATCGTTTCTGTTCTATTTCAATCAGAAAGAAATGATTGTGATAAACTTATTACAAAAACATAGAACAGGTTAGTGGTCACATCCCCGCATGTACCTTAATGGGCGCAGAACACAATAGTGGCGGATAGACTCTACGATTTTCTTTCGCACATGTGGAAGCACTGAAATGCAAAAAACAGAAACTTTTAAATAAAACTAAGCAATCAAGTTTGGTTGTACAAAGCAAGAATTTAATCAAAACTTTTAAAGGACTTCAAATTGTAAAGCCAGTTTTCTGGCTAAAGTTTAGAACGATACATAGACACAGATTTTGAATGTTACCTAAAGTTTGCGGGAGAGAATACTCCAATCCAATCATCAGTCGATGGAATTGGAGAGCTGTACTCTAAGGTTACCCATTCAGCAGTTTGACCCTATAAAAGAATCCCGTAAAACTCAAATCAGCAACAAGGCAATATGGAAGATGGCAAGCAGAAAAATAATACAAAAGTTAAAAGAAATTGGTAATCATCAAAAAAAAATATACAACACTGATGAATATACATTACACAACAGTTAAAACTTACTTGTAGTCCAAGAACTTCTGGTGATGCTTTGATGTAAGCAAGGTCAAGAAGTGATACTGTTGCCTTATGAACAGCAACTTTTGATAGAGGTTGGTCTCCATGTGACCACACCCTTTGGAGCACTGAACAAACCAATAGAAATGCCAAGGAGACAAACTTGGATCCCCCCATTTGAGCTAGCTGTTTCAGCATGAGCTGTAATTAATTACACCAAACCCTATGTAAGTAGTTATAATATAATCAAAGTTACAAAGCAGTAAAGATAGACTATATTCATGAAGAAAATTCTAAGTCCAATTCCAGAAAACCTGGTTATCTTACTTATCTTTTCCCCAACTCACCAAAATATTTTGAAGTAGAAAAACAAAAAAATTGGCAAATTATAGAATATGCAAAGGTAAGGTAACTGCAACTTTATAAGAAGTAGATGGCGTTAGAGTTCACCTACCTGTCACTTATCTAAATTTGTTTGTTGAAAGAAAAATAGAAGCTTTTAATTTGAGGGAAGAGATATTTCATAGGACAATAGATTGCAAGAGGAATCTTGGGAACAAAAAAAACAAAGATGCCACTCCACTCTAACTAACAACCAACATCGTTTTAATAGTATGGCTCCAGTTATAAAATATAAACTAGTGCACACGTGGACCACTTATCTTAACTGTTAGATAACTAATTTTTTATTAAATGGTTGAGATTTGTCACCAGTAACTTGTTGAAAGGGTGAGGTGTGTTACTTTTTTAAAATTGCTAACTCATCCCTTGCCAGAGTTGTTTTTCTGATTTTGGAGAGTGAAGTCCTTAAATGGTTGCTGATCTTTCCTCTTCCCTTTGTGCCAATTCTCACTCAAATAAAGCCTCTTTCTTTAGCTATTTGGCTTGGAGGGTTTGTCTATTGTCCAAGGATAAGGCTATTATTGAAGTTTAGGGTTTAGGCTGCTAAAAAATATCTATCTATCAGTAGTTTTAACAAAATACAAAGGTCATACATATTGACAAATGGTTTGCTATAGCAGAGAGGCTTGGCTTGGAGCGTGTATCTATTCTCGTCTCTTCTCTCGGACAGGTTAAATTTCTCGTTTTTAAATTTTTTTTTTTGGATGGAGTTTAAGTCAAAGTTTTCATCTTTTTCCTTGGTTTTAAAAAAAATGCTGATTTTGTATTTGGGTCACAAGTATTGACGATTTTTTCTACTTTTCATTTATTTGATCCATCTTATGAACGAGGGATTAATTGTTAAATAAAAAGAGTGATTGGTATAAGAAGCATCAAGCATGTTGGAAAACATCATTAAAAGGGATTTCATGAATTTGATTTTTGTGAGAGTGCACTGCCATCATTTGATCCATGTAACAGACCTCACTCATTAGGATAAAGCTATTGTTGTCGTTATTATTGGCTGATACAAATGCTTTATCTGTTTCCATATTCCTACTACCATTGACAGCATTGTCATGTGACACTTGTGTTCTGCATACATATTTGTTCATTGCCGGAAAGTTTCATCCTTTTCGTTTGAGTTACTATGGAAAAATGTTTGATTTGACTGCTGAAAAATTCATGGCCAAAGAAATTGAAGTGTTGGTGGCGGTTGTTTGCCATGTTTCAAATGCTTGACAAAGGAAGGATTTGACAGACAAAACTGTCCAGGTAAATTTCCTTCACATAATCTATGAAATGTATTTGGTGTGATGTGTCGAATACATGTTCATGTACTTGGAAAACTTCTGTCTAACTACATCTTATAACTTTTTTACTTTTACTTTTTGAACATTTATGCCAATATAAATGAAAATATCACAATAGTTAGATAATTTATCACGTCTACAATATCAGTTCCATGTTTAAAATTTGTATTTTATGTTAGTGTTAATTTCAGAATAGTTTTACACGTAGTATAGCCGAATCATATCCCATCATTTTAAAAAAAATTGCGGAATACCTTTTTCTTGATTTTATCTCTGCTTTCAATCCTCTTTTTACTTATCGATGGGGGAAAGTAATTGTACTAGTTACTGTAGTATTTTTTTTGGTATAGTACGAAAGCTAAAAAAAAAAAAAAAAAAAAAAAAAAAACAAAGACAACAAAAAGGAAAAAGCCAACTAAAGGAAGGCTAAATCAAGGGAGAAGCTATCCAGCACAGCTTGCGGTGGAGTTCTCCAAGAGCACCACTTCCAGGAAGACTTTGCCCCAAGTTTGGCAAGGATATCAGCAACAGCATTGGAACCACGGGGAGTATGAGTCACCAAGACAGTCCAACACTTCTCCAAAAAGCTGCGAATTTGGAGGATCACCTGTGCATGAGGGTGAAAATTCAGATCAGATTGCCCGTTTACAGCATTAACCACATTCAAGGCATCACTTTCACACATACTGTAGTATAAATCTATTTTATGCCTGTTATATCTTGGTCTGGAGGTAAGACTAAGACTTTGCCTCTATTTTCGCCGGTGCATCAATTTGTGTAATCTTTTATTAGAATGCCTTTCAAACAATTTGAATGCTGTTCTAATATGGTTCAGTATTCTAGTTTGTTACAGAAGTATGAAAAGATAGATGTCATTGTGCCACATGCTGCTGCAAATCCTTCTGTTAATGCTATTTTGCAAAACAAGAGTCGGTCCTTTACAAGCTGTGGGAGATGATTGTCAAGGCCTCTTTAAATGCTTCTGAAGGTAATAATTAATTATGGCCGTTAAATGACCAAAACAAAAAGATGTGCATTATTTTGGCTATTTCACAGTATTTTCTTTTTCTGCCACTTCCATGTGATGTGCTGAAATTGTGTATGGTGTATTATACACTAAATGATTTGTGCAGAAGGGTTCTTTCATTATCATTTCTCCAGGTGCTGGTTATGATCTGCTAGCTTCTTTGGCTATGTATGGAGTGAGAAAAACAGCTCTTCTGGGACTTACCAATATTAGTACTTGGCTTGCCATTTTTCATTCATGAAACCAAATTCGGTGAAGTAAAAAATTTCATGCATTCACAATCTGAGAATTGTAATACATTTTTTGGTGCTTCCACAAAATGGTGAATACTGTTAAGGTGGTCTGGACAGTATAAAGAAAGCCATTAAAAGCACAATTGACGAGACTAGATTGCATGAATTTTTGTTTGTTGAAAACAGAAAAAGGAGAAAGACCAAGAACTTAAGGGAGCAAATAACATGAGGAAAAGAAACATGTCTTAAATTTTTTAATAAATTAAAGGTTTTATGCTTTTAATTCAGGATTGAAAAGGTGATGGAAATTTATTTACAGGAATAATGGGTAATGGTAGTATGCTCTACACAGTGCTGCATACTTCTCAAGGTGATCCTCACTTTTGTAACACATTATACAACACAACAACTATGCAAAAGAATCTACCTGGCACGGATCCTAGAGATCTAGCCTATCTGCCAGCGTTTGTTACTCATACAATGCCCATTTTACTGAATTCTTGGACATCACATGTACTTCTGCTACTCAAAAGTGAAGTTCGAACAATTACTCGGCCATTAAAATTTAAAAGTAAGTGTTAAAGAAAAGGATAAAAGAATGAGGGCATAAAAGATAGGAGTAAACCAATTGTAAGCCTATGGTACTTTCTCCACCAGGACAGTTTCCTTCCACATCATCCTTCTGGTTGCAACAATCAGCACATAGAAACGAACCTTACCTTGCCATGCTTTGAGCTGGTGGAGAAAATGAAACCTGCATGGACACTGTCACACAGATGCCCTCACTTGAAGCAAGGTCAGCCTGTTAAACAGCAGATACGAAAATGCCAGATGTTGATGGACTTGAGTTGTCGTCGTTTCCTAGTCTGCAAGACATGCCAAGTATTGAACATTTATAAACAATGAATGTTTTAAAAATGTATTTCCAAAATATATTAGAAGAACATGAATATAAAATTAGCTTCGATAAGCAAACCATTTAAACCAAATCATACACTTCTATACAAGAACAAATTTACAATTACAAGACCCAAATCAAAGCTGGCTTGCTAAGGCGTATAATATAAAGCCTAGCATTTTAAATTGGATCATATATGTGTTTCTACAATCACATCCCTGTATCTTTCAAAAAGTGCTTAGGCAAACATTCAGCTTCCTAGAGTCTCATTATTAAATCATCATAATTTCTGCTCGTGCAATGCATTGTAGAATGACAAACAAAACCATGGCATGTTGTAAGACAGCAAATAAAGCTTACCAAAGAGTTCATTTCCTCATATGGAATAGATAATTTTCTATTTCTCCTTAGATTATTTACTCATTTAAATTTCCACTAAGCCTCCCGGCAATATACCATAGCAAAATTCTAGGATGTCAACAATGAACCAGTTCAGACAATGATCCAGTAACCATAATGTTTTCCAAACTCTAGCACTGGAAAGACCTCAAATATGCATAAACCAGCAATAACTAAACTAGCTTTATAACAAGTAGACGCGGTTAGAGTTCACCTACCTGTCAATAATCTCAATTTGTTTGTTGAAAGCAAAATAAAGGATATGCAAAAGGAATCTTGGGAACCAAAAAACAAAGATGCCACTCTCACTCTAACTACATACGTTCAAGGTTCCAGTTATAAACTAGTTCATAACTAGATCACTTCTTTTAACAGTTAGATCTATTAAATTTTTAATAAATGGTTGAGATTTGTCACCTGCAACTTCTTGTAAGAATGAGGTGTGCTATTTTTTTTAAATTGCTAACTCATCACTTATCAAGAGTTGTTTTTCTGATTCACCCCATCATTGGAGTGTAAACCCCTTAAATGGCTTATCTTCGCTCTTGATTTTGCTCCTTTTCTTCTCAGCAGCAGAGGGAGTCTCTTTCCTTTGTATCAGTTATCACTAAAACACAAACAAAGCCTCTTCCTGTGTGCCAGTACTCACTCAAACACAAACAAAGCCTCTTTACGTGGCTTATGGAATACAAATTCTAGATAACATTAGGTGAGTTTATTACACACCACCAAGTAAGTAAATACATTATTTGCATGTTGCGTCCATGGATAAGTGCATTCTTTTAGGTGACTATTTACACACCACTAAATAAATAAACAGAACACTCATGGAGACTTATATAATGCTTCAAAGTAGCATGTAATCATCTAATTAATTCATTTCATTGCATACAGGTTATTTAGCACTGATTTAGTACATGAACGTTCCTGCTACACAATCACATTTTCTCTTTCATACCTTTAGGAACAAATTTAACACTAACAGTATTCAAGATTCATATGGTTTAAACTATTGCAAAGCCATACCTATTAACGCAAGATGTTGAAAGAGAATTGTCTACACTAGCTTACAATTCATAGAACAAACAAATTGAGACCATGTTTTAGCATATGATTCATTTAACAACTTATAACAAGACATTCCTAAAATGTGTGTAACTCCATAAATTATCTGATATTATAATATTTTACCATTGAATGTCACTTAAAGTACTTATTATTTCATATTCAATTATGAAAATGACCAGAGATTAGTAATAGTAAAATAAGCATATGGAACACGCCTAATGTTTTAATCCATTGAAAAGAGTATAAACAAAGATTCCAGAGAGAGCTTCTGAGAAAATTAATTATTTTCCCCAAAAAGTTCAAAATCATACACGTCATTTTCCCACTTTTAAATCTCATTCTACTCATTCAGTTTAAACTTGACAATTTAAGGCAAATCACCTCCTTTAGTTTGTTAATATCACAACTCTTTTGGTTACTATAATTATACTATGACATGATTTGTGACAAAGGTGTAAAAGTTTTGCCCTCACTACTTATGCAGCACATAAAGTATTAAAGTCTCAATTACTATCAAACAGTTTTGACCTATTAAAGAAAACATGAGGTTGAATAAAAATATTAAATATGAAGACAGAAATCTTGGGGAAGAACAATCTCCTGCTTCAAGCCAGGTTTAATTCTAGTGCTTAATGCTTATCTGGTTCATATAAAGACAAAAAAAAAAAAAAAATTAAATCAAGGAAATAGAAAATTGACCTCTACTATGTGTGGTGGTATTTATTTGTGCCCTAGAGTTACTGGTTACTACTTCATCCTTCATAAGTGGTTAGCAAGAAATTAGTCAATATCCAACCATATTTTCTTCTTTTGGGGAATATTGAATTGAAACCATGTATGTATATACAGTTCATTCATTCAGTGTGTTTAAATTTCCAATCTTATGTACAAGAAGACAGCAACCAACAACCAAAAATGGGGGACAGCAGAGAACAAAATACAAGAAAAAATGAATACATTTAAACAAAAATGCAAGAATCAGCTGGATAAACTTATCAAAAGTGTCAAATAATTGCTTTGTGTAACATCTGGGGCAAAAATAATAGGAGAAAAGAACCTTGTTGACAAGCCTAAACTGAGTAAATAAAAAATTGAAGTGCTCCAAAATTTGTGAATTTGAAGCACACGTCTTGAAAGAATTTACAATATTGAATCCTTCCTCAGTTCATTTTGAGTTGTTTCATTAAGACATGATGGTTTAATCCTCCGCAAGTTAAATAGCCAGAATTAAATGTTCATGCATTCAAGCCAGCCCAATTTTTAAAAGCAATAAGTGCTTCCATTTTTCTAAAATTTCTTTTCCTTAACCTAGCCACTTTGAGCTTTTTATGGGTCTCCATGAATGCTTGCTTGTATCTCCACTTATCAACAAATATTTTCATCTCCTTAGCTTTCTCCACAACTTGCATAGCAGCATCAAAGAAACCTCCCTTGACCATAGCATACAAGAAAGCATCAACTAGATTGTGGTCAAACTTGATCCCCTTCTGCCCATCCACTGATAGCTTTCGCTTAACCTCATTCCACAACATCAACACGAGAAAATATTTCTCTGCCAAGACATATCCATTAATCATGGACAAGTATGTCTGATCATTTGGCTCAAATTGTAGGAACATCATCCTTCTGAAAGTCCTTCTTGCATCTTCTAGTCTCCCAGCTTTACAGAAAGCATGGATGATAGAATTCCAATCATGAGTACCCACTTCAACCCTAGGATCCTCAACCACCTCATCCAAGAAAGCTGCCATCAACTCAGGCCGATGATTCTCCATCAAACCCGTCATCATAGTTAAGTAACTCCCTTTCAAGTCAGGAATCCTTGCCTCTCTCATGTCCCTAAACAGGGAAAACGCTGACTGAAAATCTTGGCTGCACATGGAAGCTTCTATCAAAGCATCATAGGTCTCCACATCCAACTGAAGACCCGAATTACTAATCTCCATCACCAACTGAGTAGCCTCAGCAGTCCTATTGTCTTTGCAGTAAGCCTTCAGAATAGGCACATAGACCCCAAGACCCACAGAGGCCCCCAGAGCATTCATCTCATCAAGAATACTGTGTGCTTTATCTGATACTCCAAGGCTTACACACGCATTAACAATACCATAACCTATAGACTTATCAACCACAATACTTGAACCCTCTAACTTCTGAGCTTCAATAATCAAATTAGCCAAGCCCTTGATATTTCCTTTCTGAAAATAAGCGTTAACCACTTGACAGAAAGTTTCAACACCAAAACCCCAATCCTTCCCACCTCCATCATTCAAACACCTAACAATAGTTGACTCCACAGAAGCTAAATCCCCTGACTTAACATACCCACTAATCAAATTAGAATAAAAACCCTTCTTGTTCAAACAACCAAACCCACCCATCAAAACTTCCAACTCACGTATCTTCTCCTGTAACCCCTTGAGTGCATACAAATACCCAAGAAACCCGAAACTCGATTCATCAGGCCTCACCCCGAGCTTCGCCATGATCCCAACCACCCTCTCAGCATCACTCACTGACTCAAGCTCACAGCAGCAACCTTCCAGCGCCGCATTACAAGCGCCAACATCAGGCTTCATGAACTCCACCCCCTCCTCCAAAGCCAGCCTACAATTCTCCTCAAAGACCCTGAGGAAGGCAGCAAGGCTCCCATTGCTCCTGCTGATCTGAACCAGCACAGGGCCCCAGACATGAAAGGGCACAAAGAGCCTGTTCCTGAACATGCTCCTGACAAGGGCAAAGGCAGGGGCAGCAGTGTTGGCACTCCTCATGGAGTGCATGATGTGGTTGAGGGTGTGATGGTGGAGCAGCAAGGGGTTCTTCTCCATGAGGAAGAGGAGAGAGGCAAAGGCCCTCTTGAGGTTGAGGGTGTCACCAAGGGAGGAGAGGTGGGTGAGGAGGGAGTTTGTGAGTGGCTTGGGAGGGAAGGCTTGGTGGGAAGTGAGGGCCTTGAAGGACCTCCATGCCTCATCAGTGTTGCTGCTTATGAGGGACTTGTGGAGGGTGCTCTCCAAGGTTGAAAGCTGCTCAGGGGAGAGGCAAGGTGGGACCTTTTGGGAGGGTTCTGAAATGGGTTGGGGCTGGTTTTTGGTGAGGGCAAAGACTGAGGGCTGGAGGAAGGAGTAAAGGGTGGGGATCTTTTCAGGGGTGGAGGAGGAGAAAGCTCTATGGGGAATAAGAAAAAACGAAACTTTTTTGGCCATTCTTCTTCATTCAACGTAATCATCAATCATTGGAAACGGGTTTTCAGATTTCTCAGTTTTCAATTGAAAATTGACACAAACAAGAATTGAAACGCTCCAGTTTCCGGAAATTAATGACAGAGGTTTAAGATAGTCGGTGCTCTAACCTGAGTTCTTCACTGTCTGAGGAAGAAGGAAGCTTAACATGTGTTTCCGTGCAAAAGCATGTTAAATGTATATATTCAGTGAATAAGTATTCAGTTCTGCACTGTCTAACGAAGACGTTGTTCAATCGCTGCAGGGAGAGAAGGAAGGTCAGAGATAGAACTATGTTAAATGCAAATACTTGATTGAATATCTACCGGTGATGAGGAATGTCATCCAAAGCAAGCTGGAATAGCTCAGTTGGTTAGAGCGTGTGGCTGTTAACCACAAGGTCGGAGGTTCAAGCCCTCCTTCTAGCGTTTTTCATTTCAATTTTCTGAACATCTTGGTAAAACAAATTTACATACTTTAATCTTTTATATTTTTTATTTCATTTCTTCAATTTTTAAAGTGTATAACTTTACTTCAATTAATATAAAAAATAAATTGATTTATTTTACCATTTTATTTATTCTCTACTAATAAAAAAAAGTTTATCGAAACCAAATCCAGTAATTTTGAGTTTTTAAATTATAAATATATGTTCTTGTCTAGTTTTTAATTAAAAATTGGACAAATGTGCAAATGATAAAAAAAACGGAATCTTGGGGAAGAATGATTTATATATATATAT